GGATGCTTGTACATGCTGAAAGAAACCTTAGAGGGTATCTGGCTAAACGTCTTTGTTTTATACGAATGGAAACTAATTTCAAACATGATAAAACCTCTGTCACCGCGTTCTCATGGGTGGTTAGTATTAAGGCAGGACCTGAACCTCAGATTTTCTATCTTGTTATCGGGTGCTGTTTACAAAGTCAGTGGGAGCTTGAAGAGGTCATCTGTGGGATCTCTCATGTCAGTCAGCTCTGCTCTCTGAGCCAACAAGAAAATTGTGACTCACAAAATCCAGCAGCCTTTAGGGATTAATGAGAAGTGTGCTTTCCTTCTGTGCAGTAAACCCATTTTCAATCTTTGTAAATAAAACCCTGTAGAGAGCGGTGCACGGCCGTGCCTCAAAGATGGCGCCGGCGTCCGGCTTCCGCCTTCCCAATGGCAGGTGCTCCTTATTTGGCTAAGGCTAGGATCCGGCTTGCTTGCGTATGTCTGACCCTATCGACATTGTCCACGTGGCACTATGGGGTTGATTGCCCAGTGGCTATAAAGGGCGTGGGCTGGCTTTCCCCGGGAGGAGGAGAAGGAGAAGATGGCTTTCCCTGGGGTCAGAAGATTGTCTCAAGGTTCCTGAATAAACTGCTTGGAGAAGAGCCTGGTGTTGCGTCTTCCTTGCTGGTCGAGGCGGATGCGACAAAACCCTATCTTAAATACCTAGGAAAGCTGAAAGTTAAAGGGTCTTACTGACCAGATTCACATTTGTTGATGCTTAGCACAGACTTACGACTGATAGGTCACATGATAGACAGAAAATAAATTTCTGCACACTGTACTTGAAATTGTCAGATTTGCTTCAAGTAAAAACACCTGTCTGGGATTCTAGCTTATACCAAAACCCAACCTCATCTGCATTTTTAAGTACTTAGGAGTGACAGGAGGAGTTATCGGAGCTTGAAATTCACCAAGGGAAATATATACACATCACTGAAAGTCAGCTATGTGAGAACACAGATGTGAATATGTGGCTTTATGGCTAGATTCCATTGTTTTCCAAGCAGAAATCCTTGAGAACTAAAGGACTTCATACATGTTGGAGGGTCACTTAAAGCTACAACAGACAAAGAAGTTGGGCTCCTCTGACACATGGGGCAGACACCACCCCTACATTAACCTTACATAAGCACGATGTCCTGGTTATGCCCTGGAGAAGTCTCACCTACCCACCCTCTTCTTGCAGTTACACAGGGCTCTATAAGTAAATAGAGCTATAAGTAAACACAGATACTTGGTTTTCTCTCTCTTAGGATGCATAGGTAAGAATTCATCTGTAAAGTTACAATAAAGAACCTGTATTCAAAGAAGAATAAAACCCTGGTAACTCTTCAAAAGTCTTCGGTGACTCTTTATGGTCTACAAAGCAGTTCAAACAAATGATGTAACATTTAAGGCCTTCTACCTTCTGATCTCATCACCTTCTTTACACTGTTTAACCTCATTGTTGTACTACACAGCCCTGCTCTAAAATCCTGATAGCTAGTTCAGCATGTTCTGAATATTCCTATGCCTTTTTCAGATTGTAAGACCCCTCTAACGTCTAGAAAGCACTACCATTCAACCCCATCCATCCAAATGCTACTTTCTAAGGCTCAGCTCAAATGCTGTCTTGTCCATGAAGTCTCTACTACTCAACTGCCAAGACTGCATGCTTTTCCCCCTCTGTGAAAACACACCTACACTCCCATTTTCCTTTGCTTTAAATAACCCACACTGCCAGGTGTCCATTATTAATATATTTATGATCAATGAAATATATATACTGTACAAATATACATATATTTGATTGATCATAAGTAAACCTCACACAACACATCAGAAAAGGTTTATATTCACCAAGGACTTGAAAATAAGGTAGTCATGTGTAGCTGTTAATATGTCCACAGGATGGCAATTTCAGAGCATTTAGCATGTTGTCATTTAGATCCTTTTCTTTCACCAAGGATCCCATTTCAAGCCTCAGTCCCTTTGGAGAGATTCTAGGAAAAGAGCTCTGAGAGTCTGCACTGAGATCCATTCCTGGATTCACAACTTGTTGTCCAGATTTGCTACTGAATCAGATTCGGGCAAGTGTGAACTGGAGAAATGAACTAATCGTTGGCACCATCCAAACAAAATGAAAGGAGCGCCTTTGCTCTGTTGGCTGGATGTTCAGGTTCCAAATAATGGGGTAAAGGATGAAAAACAGAAAAAGAAAACTCCAGCCTGCAGCTGTAGAATGCCTTCTCTTCCAATGCGCTTTTCTTGTCGTTGCCCCCCTCCACCCTATTTTCACAACTATTCCATGGAACTGGAATGTGTGAGGGGCATTAAAGGATTATTTTCTATAATCCTGTGAGAATATTTGCTAGCACATTTTTTTTTTACCACCTAGACCCTCCTCTAGTCCCTCTTTTGTTTGCTCAGAATACATTTCCTTACTAAATTAAAGGCTCTTAAGAGGTGACACTATGCCTGTAAAATCATATTTGGTTTCATGGTTCAGCCCCAGAACACATAATGTAGTCTTAATTCCAGTTCTGGTAACAAAGTTATTCATTTCATAGACTTCACTTAATGGATTTGGACACATCCTTAAAAGATACAGCGTTTAGGGAGAAAAGCTGAATCACGAAAGAAAAGCCAGGTAACAACTAAGCACCCAATAGACAAAGGAGTTTGGGTGAAAGTTTTAGCTTTCTCTTTTTTTTTTTTTTTTGATTGCATCATTGTTTTTTATTTTATTTTATTTTAAAATATAATTTAGTTCCACATATCAGCCATGGATTCTCTTGTTCTCCCCCCTCCTGCCCCCTCCCCTTCCCTCCAGCCCACCCCCCATTCCCAGGGCAAAACCTCCCCCAAGTATTGAGATCAACCTGGTAGACTCAGTCCAGGCAGGTCCAGTCCCCTCCTCCCAGGCTGAGCCAAGCGTCCCTGCATAAGCCCCAGGTTTCAAACAGCCAACTCATGCACTGAGCACAGGACCCAGTCCCACTGCCTGGATGCCTCCCAAACATTCTTCATTCATTCATTAAATGGACAGTTACTGATCAATGGCCTTACATCCATGCTCATTAGCATAATTTATTCAGTTAATCCAGGTGACAGTTATCGAGCATTTATGCTTTGCAGGCTAGTAAACCAGTAGGTATAGCTTGCTGCAGCAAAGGAGTTTCCTAAATAAAGCTGTAGGAGGTCCAGGAACTAAAAAACTATAAATATTAAGTAAGGAAAGTAAGCAATGTGACAAACTTGGTGAGTGAGCTTAAATATTTGATGGGATGTCAAGTTTGTATCTTGATGAGAATGAATATTGTTTTCATTCCATGTACCCTTCCTTGACCGTGCTCTTTCTCTGAATCACATCAGATTCTACTTGTTAACTTCCAAGCGCGTCCAGCGGAGCTGAGCTTGGAATTCTTACAAAGGAATCACCAGTTGAGGCTTTGAGCTCTCCAGGCAGACGGATGGGAATACGTCTGTTAAAACCTAAGTCCAGTGTAAACTTAGCACATGTGGCGGCAGGTATTATTATTATCCCAATGGCACGCACCGGTATTTTCTTAATAGATTCTTTTAAAATTCTTTCTTACACTGTGGACCTTTACTAGGCCAATGGCTCTTAATGGAGAGGAGATTTTTTTTGCCCCTCAGAATCATATGGTTAAATCCAAGGCCCGTTTGTTTTCACACCTGGGGAAGGAGACTGCAGGGCAAGTGGTCCAGGGGCATCCTGTGAGGAGAGGCCGAGGGAGGGTACTACTGAACACTACAATTCGCTGGAGAAGTCCTCAGAACCACGAACAAGCTCCCACCCAGTGCGTTGAGGAGTGAAGGGTTTCCTAAACTCCCTAGCTGTGGTTCAGCCGGTTGCTAGCTTGAGCTCACTAGAAAACCCGACCGAAAACAGCACAGCATGGAACAGATCGTTCCTCTTGAGATCTGAGTGAACACTGGTCGCGAATATGTGTGCAGGTTCTCCCTGGCTGCCTCTCTGGCCGCTCTTCTCCCTGCACCCTCATATCCGCATCTCTAAAGTTTCAAGGTCTCTTTTAAAATGCTTTGATTCCTTTGGTGGCAACAACAACAAAAAAAAATCAAGCTTGAGCTGGGAAGTGAGTCACCGCTCAGCAGCGAAAGGACCTTGTTTTTCTTTCTCTGAATACATTTCTTAATAACTTCAGCATGACCCTTCGCACTTGGTGGTTAAATCCTCTCAGTGCCTAGGACAAGCGGAGAAAGAGCTATGACACCCGGACGTTTTTTTTCCAGTGGCTAAGCTAGGAGAGTTAAAAAAAAAAAAAAAAAACTGAAAATAACCAGAGGACAGCGAACCCTGGCATCCTATGTTACATAAGCAGATGTTGAAGGGACGAGCTGGTGCGGAGCTGTCTCCGCAGATGGACCTCACAGCTGCGCCAGTCTCGGGAGTGGCCTGGATGCTGCACACTTAGAACTTTCTGTGGAAGGAGCCTGGCAGCAGTGAGGAGGGGTGGGCCAGGCTGCAGCAGCCAGCTCCCAGGAGCAGGGCGCCTGGGGCTCCGGGGCCGATCCCCTCCCACCTCTGTCTGGGCTCATGCGGCACGCCGAGTCCTCCCCCTCACTCCCTCCCCCGCCGCCCCCCACCCCCGCCCATCTTCCTCGCCTACTCCCTCTCTTCGGAACCCTTCAATTCTCTTGGGCCCTTACTTGGCATTCCGATCACAGGGAAAAACACCTTAATTGGTGACAGTCGCCCACGGTTCCTCTCCCCGCCAAAAATACCAAGGAAAACAATCAGGTACCCATCCCATCTTCCAGGATCAGATCCCCGGCTCTCCTCCTCTACCGCTACTTTGGCTCCCAGTTCTCAAACCCCATTCATAGCCTCCCCAACCTTTCCTTTCTGTGGTCTCTGCCTTTCTCACTTCACTCCAACCTCTGTTTCCACTCCTGTCTCCGCCCTCCCACGTCCCTGACTCTCCCCCCCCCCCCCCGCTTACCTCCCCCCAGCCAACCCCCTGCAAGCTCTGGGTTCTACCCTCTGTGCCCCTCCCCAGACAAGTGTCCGGCTCCACGGGGGCAGCGGGCCCGCCGCCCGCCGCCCCGCTCAATCCCTGCCCACCTACTGTGAGGAGCAGCTCCGCCCACCTGTCCATAAAAGCCAAGTGCAAGTTACCCGCAGAGCTCAGAGGATCAGAGCCCTTCCTTGATCCTCTCCGTGGGAGCCCGAGTCCCTGTCTCCCAGATCTTACGTGCTCAAGGTAAGATAACCCTTCTTGGAGCAGCTGACCTACAGGGAAGGTTGCTAGCCGGAGTGAGTCGCTTCTGGTCAACACGCTTACTTAAAGCTGATTCATAAGGATGCTGGGATGAACAGTGAGTTTCTTAACTAGCAACTGGTTTGACAACAAACTTCTGTTTGAACAGTAAAATGAAAATTCCTTTTTGGCAGAAACAACAGCATTTCTATTACAAAAATCTTTTCTTTTAAACGCCTCCCCGGTCTGACTGTTGTTGAGGTTAAATATATCTGTTTGCGGTGTTATGTTTGTGTTTTCAATAGTAATTATTTCACATTATCAATAGAGGCAAGGAAAACTGTCCCATTGTCAAAAAATCCACTTTAAAGGAGCACAATTAGTTCTCTAAAAATAGCACACAGCCAAAAGGTCTGCTGACGATTTTGTGATGTTTTTCCAAACCCCCAAGACAGCTTCTGTGGGTCCTTTAAGAAGTATCTTTTCAGGTTTAACTGCTTGGAAAAAATGATGTGAACCGGTGCCCTTTGCCTGGGGACAGTAATCAGGTGGCTGGTAGATAGGAAAGAAGTAATCCCAGTTTACAAGCCGGGACAAGATACTACATCCCCAAATGAGACATGCGTTGAGACTAAGAAAGTGTATAAGAGAACTCTGTGACGGCTGTGCACACCTAAAACGTAAAGTGTTTCAATATGTTTCTCAGAGAAGCATGCAAGCCAGATTACACAATTCTTCCATGTATAACAGACTGATGTATGGCGGGATCAGCCAGAAAGACTTCAGATGAAGGTTTTCATCCTTACCAACCCTTCTGTCCTCCTCTTGCAAATGAAAATCTGCCTGATGAGTGATTGACTCTCCCAGAGCTCTCCAGTGAAGAAAAGACCTTGGGTGGGTGGGTAGGTCAGTGGTGGAGGTGGTGGGAGGGTGGGTGGGTGGGTTTGGGAATGGATCTAGTCTCCTTCCAGAGTGCTGTGCACCTGTGAGTGGAATAAACAAACCAGACAGCTACTTCTGTAAGAACCAGGCTCTTGGGCGATGAATCCTGCCACCGCATTCTGTGGGTTCTGTGGGATGAAAAGCCGTCATGTGGAGAAAAGCCCTCTTCAAGCGTTCCATCTGGGGAACTGCAGAAGGCTGCACCTAGAGGAGGCAAGGCTGGGCTGCCAGTCAGGAAGCCAACCCACTCTTTTAGCCCTTAAGGTTCTTAAAGGGAGAGAACTGTTTACGTTTTCATGGCTGTTAGTTGTCTGCTGTTTCACATGGGAAGGAAAATTTCACTACAGAGATAAAAAGTCTCCCTATTAAAGAAACTGAAGTAAATTAGACACATGACTTGGGTCTTTCTAAACATCCTCTTTATCTTTCAGATATCAAAAGAAATAACAAAAAGTATTTAAAAAAAAACTGCTTAGGATGAAAGGGATTCAATACAATTATTCAAGTGAAAGAGTTACATGTGGAGCATTCTGTCGTATTACACTTTTTTTTTCCAGTGGAAAAATATTGCAAAGAGTGTGGTTTCCTTTAAGAAAATGATGTAAAATTACTATTGGCCAAGATACTATGTGACCTGTGCATATTAAAATACCTTTATCTCCAGCCATAGTGCAGTCTGCTTGCTTCATATTTAACATGTGTAATCAGCCATGACAAGACAAAGGTATGAGACAAGGCCAAACCAAGTATTTAGTACATTCAGGATAACTCTCCTTAAAGGTGGTACTTGACGCCTGTCCAGCACCATCAGCGTGAAAAGATACTGCTCTCCTCCACTGATCTCCACCATGGAAGCTATCTGCTCTAAGGGGCAAAAGCTTATATTAAAGGGGTTTGTTAAAGCTATATTTGAGGGTTATAATAATTCTATGAAGATTTGATTCTGCTCTCTCTCACAGTCTGGGCAGACTAGTTATGAATAGTTTAACTATAACTGCCTTCCTGTGTGTCATGAGGTTCAACCCCCTTCACTAAGTAGGTGAGATCATCTTAGACTGTTCATGATCTAACCTTCCCAGAAGGCATCACCAATCAAAGGGATTCTTTCCATAGGGTACGTACCAAATATAACGGCACTTTCCTTCTTATGAATTTAGAAAAATCAGTGATGAGAGGTCATTTTGTTATCCTAATATCACCCCTTCTGCACAGAACGTCAAAGGACAACCCACGTCTCCTCTTTCTGAATGTGGCCATATCCAGTCCACACCACTGCAACAGGCTACAGATAACTCCCCAAAAGTAAAGAAGAGTGGGTGTCTCCTTGACCACAGGCACCCAAAGGGTGCCCTTCAGATTTTGAGGGCCTGCCACACTTGAAGAAACACACGTTTTAGATTTCTGTCTGTGAATAAATAAAATACCTGCATGATCAGAAAGCATACATTACTTTATTTTCTTTCAAAAGAAAAGAATAGAGGACAGGAAAATCACATCAACTGGAACTGAGAGGGAAGCTGAGAGCATCATAGACATCCACTAAGAGAATAGAATGGTCTAGATCTCCTATCAAACATGACCTCTTATTCATGCAGCTATGGAGGTGAAAGAAGAGCAGATGTGTCTGCACTTGGGCTTCTGTTTGAATTTTCTTTTCTAGCCAGTAAGAGCACTGCCGCTAATAACTTAAGAACCATCTCTGCTATGTGTCTCGTGAGCCTTCCTTCTCCTCCAGAAGACAGCCGCATGGGTCTAAAACCCGAAATGATTTCAGGTGTGCCCACTTCAAACTCACAGGAATCTTGCCAGTTCTAGTGTTTAGAGCTGCATTGTGCATATCAAACACCGTGTTTTGGTCTTATGTTAGGAACATCTACAAAATGAAGCCCCGCTCTCCTGAAGGGGACAGTGTTGTGTGAGTCTTTTCAAGTTAGAGGGTAGCAATCACTCCTCTTCCTTGGTATGGCAACTTAAAGAATGACTAAGACTTCTGATCTCTGCTTCTCCAAGTAACTCCGGAGGGACGTATCTTACTGTGTGCTTCCACACCTGCACATGTACATAATTTAAAGAAAGTACAAACCGATCTTGAGGTTTGAGAGCAGCCTTGCAAAATGAACTGTTCTAACTGTTGAATAAAACTAGAGGCTTGGAAGAGTTAAGGGGACAGTGAATGCCTTTGGAATTTCGAGAATCTTCCTCTTAGCGTTGTGCTAACGGATTGGATCTTTCATTACTTAAGGCGTCTAGTGGGGGACTGGGGGTGGCTGCTCACAAGTTGTTACCAAATACTAAGGAAATAATAATAATAATAACATTTTTTTAAAGATTTCCTATTTCACTGCAGTTTACAGCCCACAGTCCTAAAGCAGAGCTTTGCTGGTCCTCCCCCCCTCCCTTTTTGGAGATATGAGACAGACTGAGGGTAAGAAGGAGAGTTAGGTACATTTCAGTACCAAGAGAGATACTTCTGGTCTGAGGCTGGTGCATGACTTCAGGACGCATGCTGTCTAAGGGATGAGGCTCTGGATAGGAGCTGAGAGGAGTCCCTGGTGTCTGGAATGTCTCCAATCTGGAAGCCCTGTGTACCCCAATCCAGGAAGTCACTGACCCTGCATCAGATCAAACTGAAGTAAATAAAACAAAAACTAATTACAGTACTATCTCCTAAAATATTAACAAGTAGTGATGTCTCAGTTGGCACAAGCGCCAATGATCCTACTGATGAAGCGTCTACAAAGTGTTAGAATACACCTGACAATGACTTTCAAGTTCCCCTGTTTACTCAGGGCTCAATTCCATTGTTCTGCCTGGAAAACAAAACCTGGCATCTCTCCTTCATGCAGCCTCCTCAGGGAGGTGAGAGTGGGGGTGTCTGCAGCTGCAGTCTCCTTCGGTGGGTGCTACTGGCATTGTTTCTTCAGTGGAAGAAGTCTCCTCCATCTTTACAGATGGAGATTGTGGAGTAACACTCATTCTTGTGCTTTTTCTCATTACTGCGAGTCTCCCCATACTTAAATGTTGACTCCATCAAGTCAGAAAGCTTTATAGTTTTCTAAGCTTTAATTCATATGCAAGGATGAAAAGTCATCAAGAATTTCTCCTAGCCTCTAGTAAATTCTCTGAGGTGAGTTTTCTGGGAACTTTTATTGTTCAGTAAGTTCAAATCTCTGGTAGGTTAGTAAAGAACCCAGACAATGCAAAATATAATTCCAGAATGGACTTTGGGGGCTAATTTTGAATAAAAGTTCATTTTAGAGATGGAAAAGGTCAGAAAGGTTGGTGTCATTCACAAGGTCACCCAGATGAGTGTACCACAGCTGGAGGGCAAGTGGCCAAACTCCCTAGCCAGTTCCACATCTTGAAGAACTGAGGTTTCTGCCCACCCAGTGGGAAGCTTAGGTGTCTCTAATTGTGTTGAGCAGCCTGTAAGAACTTACCATGGGACTGTCAGATGGGGGCAAGTTTGGGATACAGCTATAGCTTTACTGAAGACTGTGTCTAAGAGATGTGAAATAAACCCTGTGAAGATCTTTGAGATTACTGATCATTAACATCTCAGGGACCTCCACTGTCATTCTCCATGGCAGAATCTGAAATATAGTGGCTGGTTGGTACATCTGTGTTGAGTTGGTGAGTAAATGAAGAGAGAAAAAAAGTTAAGCAGAAAATATCCATTATTTTCAACTCCTATAAAAGACCGATAAGTCGTTTCAAGTAGTGTTGTTTGGTGGGGTAACTTTATGTGTTACTAATAACTGGATTATCTCAGCAGAGAACATTTTGATGTCCTGAATACTTTAAGTTACAAGTATTCAAATCCCAAATGTATCAAGCTTTAGATACCTTCTTACAATATGAAATGTAGAAGTGCTCACTTAACCTCATGGATGGCTGGAAAAATCACCTTGCCTTCAGGACTGGGTAATTTTTCCTACCTGATCTGAGCTATAGAATTATATTTCTGTAGCATGTTTAAGAATATTAAGTAATTATTTGCAGTACATTCCTCATATTGTTCCCTCACTAAAGACAATGTGCTGTCAGTTAATTCTGTACTT